AATTGGGCCCCGAATAATCTCCTTATTCCGTCAATGCGATAAGTGGGGGATACACCCTATCGTTTTTAAGAAGGCTAATGTAGTTATAATACCAAAGTCGGGAAATCGCAACCGAGCTCTCCCATTATCTTACCGCCCTATCGCTCTTCTATCGTGCCTTGGCAAGGGATTGGAGAGACTTGTCGCGCGTCGTCTCTCATTTCTAGCACTGAGTCATCAGATTCTTTCCCGTGATCAGTGTAGTGCAGTTCCTCGGAGATCAGCTACCGATCTCACCACGGCATTGTCGTGCGATATTCAGGATGCCTGGGCCAAAAAACATGTAGCCGGAATAGTCACTGTAGATGTCAAAGGTGCATTTGATGGAATACAAAAAGGCCGCCTGTGTCATTGCCTACGGGGTCAAGTATGGCCATTCAATGTGGTACAGTGGGTGTCCTCTTTCATGTCTGAGCGAGAGGCCTCAATCACACTGGATGGAACCATATCTCCGGCGTTTAAGATACACTGCGGACTCCCTCAAGGATCCCCAGCTTCACCTATCTTATTTCTATTGGCAATTGAAGGTATGCTCCACCTTTCCCCAAAGCGTTTCGGCTATGCAGACGACGTTGCATTTCTGGCGTCCGCACCGACTCTCGCTCGCTGCGGAGAGTTACTTCAGACGCAGTTAGATATGACCCTCGCCTGGGGACTTGAGAACGGCATTGCTCTCGAAGTCTCAAAAACGGAACTACAATATTTTCACCGAAAACATGGACCTCCACTAGAACCCAGCGTATATGCGGATGGGGTCGAGATCACACCAAACGCCCACACGCGCTGGCTCGGGGTCATCTTCGATCGAAGCCTTCGGTTCAGAGAACATGTCAGACAAGCCTGTGGAAGATCCTTGGCTGTTACAAGTCACATTAAAAGTCTTTCGAGAGTCACCCGAGGAATGAGCCCTCTTCTTTTGAGGCAAGCGCTCCAAGGAGCAGCTTTTGCGACCTTGCTCTACGGAGCTGAGACATGGTATTCCGAAGGAACTCCGAAAGCACTGGTCCTTCGGATACAACAACGGATGAACGATGCTGCTCGCGCAGCACTTCCTGTATACCGTACTACACCAATAGCTGTTCTTCTGCGTGAAACAGGTTGGGGGCCCGCAAAAGCCTGGCTTGAGCGCATACATGATCGCCTCGCCCTCCGCACTGCAGCAGCAGATCCTAGACACCCTCTTCGTAGACGGTGGAATTCTTCGAGAATGTGCGGAATCCGACAAAGGATTTCCCCGGAGCTCTCAGAAGATAACATCCCTCCCCCTTGGGAAGCCGGACGTGATGAATGTTTGGAAAAGATAGGCGCTGTTGGCCGAACAGCGGGAGTCTATTCCTTTACTCAATGGTACGCCCGACAATCCATGATGGACCTTTTTGTTTTCTCCGACGGCGCTCTGATTGAGAATCAAGCAGGAGCTGGATATTCAATTCGACGCGGCATGAACCATGAGATTGCCCGCGGAACCATCCCTCTAGGTGCCTCAGCAGAGGTATACGACGCGGAAATTTCCGGAGCAACAGAGGGGCTAGAAGCTGCCCTTCACAATCCCATGGCCTTCTATGCAACCAACTTAACCATCTGCCTAGATAACCAAGAAGCGGCTCTTCGACTCCTCTTATTAACACCGACCGCAACAAGCTCTCGCCGGATTGCAAAATTTCGGCAGCTGGCGGCTAGCTGGATAAACAGGACACGAGCATCCTGTACTAAAGCAGGAGCAGTCAGTGTTAGATGGTGCCCCGGACATTCTGGAATCCCTGGAAATGAAGCAGCAGATGCTCTAGCGAAGTCGGCTTGTCTAATGACTGCGCTACCCCTATCTCCATCCATAGCGAGAGCAAAAAGAGAAATTTCTCTGTTGTACAACGCTTCCACCACTGCTTACTGGGATCGGGAAGGCCCCACTAGATATAAAGAACTAGGGATTGGCCCTAGCCTAGGAATATCCCCAGAACTGAAAGGTCTAAGCCGGCGTGCACTTGGGGCGTTGATTGCAGCTCGCTCCGGACACGGAGATTTCGCACAGTATCATCGGCGTTTTACACACGAAGATGCCTTAATGACTTGCTCCTGTGGCGAAGAAAAAAGTACGGACCACTTCTTTCACTGCAGCATAGGAAGAAGCCGGGCTCGCCTTAGTGGTGGACCTCGGCACTCCAGCCCCGGTATTAAATGGGTCCTCAGCACGCCTAAAGGGGCACACGCCTTCGGAAAATGGGTGGAGCTGACAAAGTTCTACGACGAAGTCCAACGGGCACATTAGATATTTCCCTTGAGATTTTTGGTACTGCGTGAATAGTCTGCGGGAGTAATTTCAAACTACTTGTAAATAAAAAGTAAAATCCCGGGTAGAGGGAAATTTGCTACATTTAAATTGGAAAGCAGAGTAGCGGACAGCAGGTCGGACTCTTTTGTAGTTTCTAGGTGCTGTAGGGCGCGCTAGAGCGTCGGGTAGTTCTGTAGGGACTGGGCCGTCCAGCACGTGACTAAGGTCACGAGCTGTAGACAGGCACGACGTTAAATTTAATCAAATCAAATCAAATCTGCATTACATTAAGCAACCGGAGGAGCATATTTCTATTCGTCTAGTTGGCTTAGGATTTCTAGAGCGCTTACAACTTCTAGGCTGAACGATCTCATGTAATTCGCGCTTCTATTCTTCTTCTCACACAATATTTTTTACGGTAGCGGAACAATCTCGTGCGGTTAAGCTAATACTGTCAAGGAAACAAGGCGTTCAGGCAATGCAGTCACATGATATATGGACATGTGTAATTTTTTTTTTTTTTTAATCATTTAATGTGTATTCAGCTATCTAGCTATGACACATGGCCGGTGATATGTATACATATTGGATGACTCTTTTGACATTAGAGACACTCATACTCTGGATTTCATTTGCAAATACCACTATGAGGTATGTTTGCTTACACAAACAGTCGACCCTCCTCCGTTAGTACCCACCAAAGGGAATTTAAAAACTTTTAGTTATCCAAGCATGCCTTCGTCATCCATGCATACCAGCGCCGCGAGAAAAGTGGTTGTGTTTTGCCGGATTCGAACCAGCGATCTACTGTCTCAAGTGGGATATGTGTCCAAGCTATCCAGACTCTACTTGGCAGACCAGCCTAGACGATGTACCACCGCACCATCCAACCATGGCAGTTTTTATAGTGTCGCCTGCACTCTCGCAGCCGAAGACTTGGCACGCACAAAGCTCAATTTGTAAAAACTCCTTTCCAAATTTCAAAATTCCACGCCCGTCGAGACTGCATCCAATCCTCTGCATCATCTTATTAACTTGTCCTGATCCCTCTCACATCTATCCCAAGGAATTGTCTTCCAGATTTGTGCGCCACGCTTTGCTTCCTCCGTCGGGTGTAAATATCGGCGTGGGCATGTATCTGGCGACCAGCTAAGGCCAGAGAAAGTCGACAAGAGGTGTGGTCATTGGGATTAGGATGTACTAGGTCGTACTTGTGAACTTGATGAGGTTTAGGTAGGAATCGATTTCGTTGGGAGTGAAAGATTGATATGGTGGAGTAATTTGAATCATTGCCTCGTGGGCCAACTTGTTCAGTATTGCGAAGTTTGATTGAACTTGGCTCTGGGAGAATATTCACTCCCAGGTTCGTAGAGGACACCGCGTACAGGTGTTCAGTCTTGCCCTCCGGACATGTGTAAGTGCACGCTAACGCGTCCGTAAATAATTATTAGTTTCATAGTACTAGATTCTTTCCTCTTTGTAGACAATCTAATTCACCAGACCAGACATCGTCGGTCACCATCCACCTCACTCCCTACTGTGACAAATACCAGGCCGACTGACCGGGAAAGGGGAGGCCAAAATTCGGGTATCAAACAGCCCAGGAATAGATTTAGGTATCTGGCCGTGTGGATGAATATTTTCTCTTAATATTTATCGAGGCCAAACGAGATGACGATGTTGTGACCCTAGGATAGCTTTCAATGGAGGTCGCAGGTACCCCATTCCCATCGTAGAAGTTGCTGTTACGAGCAGTCCATAGGCCGCAGTCGTCAACATACCCAGAGAATTTGCCTTGCTCATCATGAAGAGTGATAGACGAGCATGTTTCAAACTCAGACTTGGGCCGACTAAATAAACTTGTGGAAGTTTACGTAGAAGCGGCGAGCTCTCCAGGTGTTACGCACTTTACCGGACGTTAGAGGCTGGGCCCGTAGGTCAGCCCAGCCTTGCAAGTATGTGGGACTCGGCAAATGTGTTTCCCTGTTTCATAAAGCAAGACGCTTAGTAAGTTTGCCATCATGACACACCTTACATTGGCTCAATCCATGCTAATACTTCGAATTCTGTTCTGCACTAGAAAAGGAAAAGAAGCATTACTCAAATATTTGGATACATACAAGTGCATGGCAGCACATAAAGGAAATTAGAGTAGGATATATAAGTGGGAATTTTATGAATTGATTATTGAGTTAGTTGAAATATAGGAGTTCTGGGGACTGGAATTGTAGAAAAGATGTGTCATAGCTAGATAGCTGAATACACTATGAATTAAAAGAAAAACCCCATGTGAAACTATCTCTTCCTTAGAAAAAGATAGATTATTTTGTAGCAGCCTTTGCATGCAGCGTCCATGATCCTCTCCCCTTTACACTGAGTCCTGATGGTTAATATAGAATCGAAATAACCTACCAGTTTTAGAGGAGCATGAACTAACTGATTTATTTGATTGTAAGCTGAGCCCTTGTCACTGCCGCATGGGAGCTAACTCCCTTAAATTTTTTTCCGGGACTTGTCACTTCCGACCACCAAGGAATAATTTAATAGCGACGGCACAAGTTATTTGCGTGCTAGATTAATCCCACATTGCTGCCCTATCATAAGTACAACTTAAACTAAACATTTATCGAGCCTCCACATTAATTTAACTACAAAGCCTTCACCCTAGACACGGCATAAATTATCCTATCAATTAAAATGCACCCAGTTCTTTAAGAATACCAGCCAACCTACGGTAGTCTCGTAGGAGTTCCATTACCTCGTTGATTTTCATCTCACCCGGATTTTGAAGCTCCATAAATTTAGGGATGGGTGGGGACGTGTCAGCCAAACCATCAGGACGAAGCGCTGGTAACAAATCAGGAATCTTCTGGAAAAATATATTAGCACAATATCATAACATAATGTCTAGCTTGGTTACCGTTGTTAAATCATTGGAACAGTTATCGGATCTTTGTCTCGTCGTTTGGGTGGGCGCAGAAGTGAATGTTACTGCTGATATAGTAGGGGTGGATGGAGGTGTGGCGCGCCCAAATGCACGCATCACGCCCATACCTGCAATTCTACTCATGGGGTTCAGGGTATTACCGAGATTGCGCATAGATTCGACGAGAGGTGGATTCGGCGATGATAGAGCTAAACTTTGTAGCTGGGTGGGTGTCTTATCAGCACTTTCGACAAATGGAGCGCTCCTGTTACATTCACCTGTCCTTTCTCGAGGTGGACTCAAGCCGCTTATAATACTACGAAGTCTATCCTCGAGTTTATTCCCGGTCTCATTTACTTCAGAATTGTAGAGTGAACTTGAACTACTACTCAAACCCTCTGTCTCCATGGATGTACCGACTAATCTTCGCGCGTCATCTAAAGTTTGAGGGGCATTTGACTCAGATTTAGTATCGTTGCCATCGTCACTCCGTCCCTTTAATTTTCCCAGTAAAAATTTGTAGCTGTCTCCAAGACTAGTCCCTATTGCTTCAAGACCTTGATCGGAAGTAATAGGAACAGAATCGTCAGTGACACTCCGAGTAGAATTTGAGTGGAATAAGTCACTCAAATGGCGCCTATGAGCTTGTGTGGCTAACTGAACTCTTAATGTTGAAGGCTCAGTAGCCGACATGGTTGAATTTGGCGCTGCAGCTGTGGCCTTTGACGTGGGAAAGCTGGCATCTGATGGAGTGGGCGGGTTGAGCAATGGATCAAACATTCCTGTTGAAGGTGTATTCGGTCTGCTTGCCGACTTTGGCGGCCCAGAGAGTTTTTCATCAGCTCTTAAGCTTGCTAAGTCGACAGTCTCAAGAAAACAAATAGCTGCTTCGAGAGTTGTAAGACAATATGAAGCTTCACCGTCCATCTTGCATTCATTTCGGAATCTTTGTATGAAATTCATGTTGCTTATAATATTAATCCCTTCCGGTCGAGATGTTATCAAGGTATAAATCAACATAGGCATAATTTCATCTGCAGATGATGAAGGATGAAAGTCAGCAAGTGTATCCACGATTGCTTTGTGGGCCATTTTTAAATGCTGGAGCTTCCCGAGAGGATACTTCAAATCATTCATGGCAATGAGCTCTTGCCTTGCACCTTCAAGTCGTTCCCTTACTTGAAATTCTCTCTGCTTAACAGCTTCGGAATCCCCGGTCTCGTCCCCAACGCCAATGTCGACTCCGAGATCTTTCAACCCAATTCCCACAAGCGATAATGCCGCTGTTCTCGACCTCAGTTTTTCATCTTTTGCCTCATCATGGGTGCTTCGATGTCTCCAAATTCTATCATAAGTTCCTTCACAGACTCTTTTCTCGATAGCTTCCTCTAAGGCTATTCGCTTCTGTTCTAGTATCTTGCGTGCTCCTTTCCTATCATTAATTTCTTCGGTTGTAAGCATTTGCTGGTCTAAAAAACTTTTCCCAGAAGACATCGGTCGATCCAAGCTACTAATTGAAACAGCTTTCTCTCTTATTTTATTTGCGGTGGAAGAAATGGCGGAAAGCGGGGGCTCAAATGATCTTTGTCTATTTTGTAGTGATGAAATTGTAGAGATATGGGTATTAATGTGGTTTATAGCAACAGCGTAGAAATCTTGAAATAGCCCAGAGAGTTTGTCAACTGTTGGCGGCGTGGAGTAGACCTTTGCAGATAGTGAATCGATAAAACTTCATTATTAGTATAATATAGAAAGAGAGAATTAAACTCACCGATCACTTAAGCTTATCAATTCTATGGGTATTTGATCAAAGTCGTCTGGCAGTTTCTGAGGTGCTGCTGGAATAGATTTTGCCGCCTCATCCTCAGATGCTGAATCAAAGTCATCGATTCGGTCTTCAAGTTTTTTCTTCAAAAAACAATCTTTCAACTCGTCCGGATCAGGTCCGGACAACTGAGTTAGATGGGGATGGCTGACAGTCCTTGGAGAATCAAATTTGGGAAAAGTTTGAGATGTAACCAGTGGCCGAGGTCGTTGAATACCAATCTTTGTACTATCGGAAGAATCCATGATATGTAGAAGTCTACAGTCAAATGTATCCATCTCCGATTGTATGGTTTGGTATATAAAGCGTTATCGACATCAGCGATTATCATATTCAAACAGTTAGTATGACATGATCCCTCCTGAAACCCACGAAGCAAGGAGCAGGTTGCAGGAGACAGGATGAAGACCCGATAGAAGTCTACACGTTTAACATGTCCGTCGCATTAGTTCGCTTTTTCGGGTCGACAGGGACAGGTAGTTTCTCTATTCTAGGTTAGTATAAATTCATACGGTACGCTATTAAATGATAATTTAATAGCATTCCATCAAAAGACCATTAGGAGTCATGACGCGCAGGATCACTTTCATTCGCTCCACCTTGCATTCGAAAAACTCCCCTTCCCCTTAGCTCTTGGGAGCGACAAGCCTCAATCCAAAAATAGATGTGTCGGCATAACAATTACAACTCGCACACGACTCCTGACTATTCCATGATCGAGGGTCTGAATTGATTACTATGGCTGATGATATCATAACCGTTCATTGATTTACAAACGAGTCACTAAGCCTTGTCTCTGGGTCTAAAGTCCCACACTGAATAGCCATAATATTTATTTGGACCCTGCTGGAGATTTGTTGTAATGAAGGGTTAGGATTCTGGCCGAGACTTGAGCTAAGCACGGTTGAATTCACACCCCAAATCAAAGCGCTGCAAGCCGGCATTGCTCCTTCCGTTATCAGTAGATCAAGGATACGATAAACCATGATACCGTCCCTCAAGCTGAAGTTTCCCTTGAGAGATGATAAGTCCTGTATCGAGTCGCTATTAACATCAGAAGGCGCGTTAAATCACCAACTTAAAGGCCCATCTGTTTATGCTGGTGCTACTCAAGTTACATACTAATTCTCTATTGAGTGGCGCACATAGGCACTCCTTTTTCTAGGGCAAGATCGCTGATTGTCCGAGTTACGGAGGTTCTAATTCTGCTGATTGTTCATCACATAACTTCATACATAGCGCAGATGAGAAATGATGATCATGCAGACCCCGATAACCACTGGTATATTATTTGTTGAACCCCTATGTGATTTAGCACGTTTGAGAGGCTCGATAGAGCCCTCATAGTAAGTGATTCAATTTGTTCCGATTCTATGCTACTTTCTCTTTCTCTACCAGGCATATCATATCCAAGAGATGTCCATGTCAACATCGCATCGACTATGATTACTTGGGCAACTTTTCTCCTAATTTCCCCCCTGAAACCACAAAGCAGGTTTCCAGTCTATGTGTTTGGCATCAGACTTGGATCTGTGGGGACAACTAACGGAAAAATTAAGGCAAAACTGAACTAGTGACAGTAGGACCAGCCAATTTTCACCCGATGAAACTCGCCAGTCAGATCTTGAAAGCATGTTCGTACCTTCGTCCCGCCATAGCAGAAACTGTCGTTCAAGACATCAACGAGGACCCCACTCGTATCCCAAACAAACATGTAAGCGGAGATCCATAATCTAATTGTGTCGTCAAGAATTTGGGATCATAATACGATGGAACCTCATTTTACCCACGCACGCCGATGTAAAAAGCTCGTGTCGCCAGAATTATAAAGTCAACCAAACCACCCTTCTTTCTTCTCATCTTCGTGCAATCAAATTTTTTTGACTCAGCAAAATTCCACCAGCTAAATCATTGAAAGTTGGGTAATAAATGGATGCCGATAAGTGGTAAAAACAAATTTTAGAAAATTAATTTTTTGGCCTAATTTGGCGCTCTGTAGGTCCATGTGTGTCTACTAACCTTAGTCACTTTATTTGAGATAAAATAAAGATTTTTTTGAAGTCATTTGTATGTATGTGTTTTTTGTCCTGTTAATCCCATAAAAATGAATGGATATGTAGGTCCTTTTTTCCTACAGGCCGGTAATATCTATACCTCAAATAGTGTACTCCCTTCACTGCCTCCTTCACGACTTCTTTCCAGCGGTGATACACCCACGATTCTTCATTTGAGTACACAATAAGAGGAGCCGTAATCCCGTTGATATCTCCCCTCTCTAGCCCACAAAACGATGGCCATTTGCGGGTGTATGGCAGCCGGGAAAAATCGCAAAAACCACTGGGTGCGGAGCTCTCCTAATACCGACCTTAGGACTAGATCCGAAGACATAGTGACCCTTCCAAAGCGTTCAAAGAGGCCGGCCAGCTGGGCGATGCAGACTTGTGGGTACCTCGGGAAATTCACACTCTGCCTTTCTAGCCTCCTTCCAACTCCTTCCCGAAGGTCGTGCTGAAATGTCAGAAAAGTCTTGACAGAGCGTGATTGCTGTATAGTAGCTTAGCCTAACTTCTTTTGTGCCGTCCAGGGCGCTGGGGAGTGCCGTTGACTCATCGACAAAAGAAGCCCTCCTGGCTAGTTAACCGAAATCTTGGTCTTGGCTCCCACAAAAGTTCCAAAGATGAAAACCCCTCGAAAATGTCAGTCCCAGCGTGGTCTTCAGAGAACTGCTCCCCTCTCGCTCCACATCTCCGTCGCCTGTTCTTCCTCAAGCTGTTTGTCCCATTAGAGCAATAGTCCCCCATAAGCCAAGACCCAGGCTCTATATTTTTCGACTTGATTTCCTCCTCGCGCGTATAAATAACGTTGTAAATATGTAGTGAGAGATGGCCGGTAATGAATAAGGCAAGCTCCTGTTTGCAATTGGAGTGACGCCTTTATCGGTCGTTGAGGTGAGGTGGTGTGTGGAGAGGTTAAGGTTGAGGACTCAGATGAGGATGGTCAGAGAGGCATTGTCAAGAAGTCGTCAAATGGAGATGTGTATGAGGTTGCTTTCGACTTCGATTCGGATACGATTCTTCTTGGCTATCCCAGATATGCAGAGTATACTGAGCGATTACACCGACACCACTGGAAGGTGAAGTATTCGTCTTTGCCAGCTCGTTCCCCTCAGATCATTAAATTATGTTTTTATTAATTACAGTCTCTTATGGATAGCAAAGGTAAAATTGTCAAAATAACTGGGGTACAATCCCTGTACATATTGCCTTAATTGGTATGGTCTTCATGCAGGCCCATGTCTAGTTTCTCAACAAGTTATGCAAGCAAGGGGTTCTATCCAATGACATTCCGTGAAAGTCTAAATTATGGGGATGGTTTTGAACTCAATGGGAAAAGTACAATGGTCCTCATGTGAAATTCAAAATTAAAAAAATCAATCGATATTCTGTAAAAATGCACATCTATTTCAAAAATTATTGCTCTGTATTATAAAAGTCTACATCGAAGCCCTCAGTATGGCTCGCAAATAAAATGAAAGCGTAATACATGTTTGTGTCTTCTCCATCCTAATACTTTGTGTACCCTCCATTTGCCTTTATCACTGCTACACATCTTTCGTGCTTGCTGCCAACTAGTGACATTAGCTCCTCAGAAGGTATAGAGTCCCATGCATCCTGTAGCAATGTCTTCAACGTGGCAGAGCGCACAAGCCTGACCCCAATATTCTCAGGACTATTTTCCTGAATGTGGTTTTTTAAGACATTCCACAATGACTCGATCGGGTTCAGGTCAGGAGAGTAAAGTGGCCATCTAATAGGCGTTATTCCAACTTCACGCAACGCCTCAAATGTTGAGTACGCTTTAGGACATGGTGCGTTGTCGTGCATGTATAGAACTTCTGAATTTTCCGAGTGAGTTTGATTCAAAAGTGGCAAAATACTTTCGCAAAAGGAGGGGGCCCTCATTGATCTTCAATCCTTCTCCCAGACCAGGAATGGGCCTTTCTGTGATCCATAATATGATTCCCAAATCATCCAACTGCTCCCATGAGCATGACGAGCCACAATACAAGTCTCATCAAACTCATCATCAGGCTAAACTCTGCTGTTAGTACAAGATTTTGATAGAATCTAAACGTATTTTTCTTGTGACATGAGGTTTCATATGACAATCACCCGAAACCCAGGTTTCATCAGTCCACAGTATGCGACTCCATTGTTCATCGCTCCAATTTAAATGTAATTGGGCGGACTCCAATCTTTTCTGCTTGTTCACCGCGCTTAACGGAAGCTTCTTCCGAGCAAAGCATCTGCTGTAACCTCTTTTTTTCGGTGCGTTAGAAATTAAACGTTCACTGCATCCCCAGTGGCTGAAGGGCCCCATGACTAGTTCCAAATAGCACATCTTTCGATTTTTGGGAGATTTCCGGACGAAAGCCTCAAGCTCATCAACTTGTTCCGCGCTTAGTTTTGGTAAGGGTCCTTTGTGAGGCATAGGGTTCTCGGTCTCTCGATCACACGCAAGTTGTACTTGTCTTATTGTGAAGCCAAGTTTGTCGGATGTATTTTGAAATGTCAAGCCAAGTCTTCCTAATGCTCTTATTTCAATACATTGATCGCGAGTTAGATGCCTGTGAAATTTGGTTGCTGGAGCAGACTTTTCGAGAGACATTGTTTGCTAGAATAGAGGATGAATTGATAGTGGTGTGAAGTTTCAGTGACCGTGTAAGCTAAGCTGCCAAAAATGTCGTTGAAAATGTGTTTCTCTAAGCGATTATTAGAAGAAGACGATTGGACCATACTTCATGGCGAGCGGGGTAAGGAGGAAAGACATACTAACCTATTACGTGCTAGCCCAACTGCGCCTACAGGGCTAATCCCTTAAACATCCCAGTTTCGAGGTTAAGATTTTACATCCCAGAGGCACTGTAGCAAGTGGAATACAATATGAACTACAAAAATTTCTGGGACCAAACACTTAGATTGGGAGCAGTAAAGTTTCTTGTAAAATGAGGTGACCTATATGTTTAATACTGACTCTACTATCGTATGTAGATGGGGTATAGTCTATGAATAATGCTCTAGACTATTGATTATCGATACTAGTTAAGATACTTCGCACTTCATCATGTGCTCGAAGATGGAAAGATGTTCAAACAAAAGATGGATATGTGACCTCCTTTTCTTTTGCACTAGATTTTGAATGCGTAAACCACTATCTTGCTTTGACTCAATATCAAAGATAATTACGAATTAATTTCTTCAATTTACAGACACACTCT